CCCACCCTTACTGTAAATGAAGTTGAAAATTGTAAAAAGTACATTTACAAAAGTCTTAACACTTATCTCCTGAATGAGATGAATATTGTAATTTATAAATGTCTCACAAAAGATTAACAGAAAAAAACCAGGAAACGACAGTGTGAACACTGACTCTGCATTCACACTATTGGACACAGCAGCTATGAATATTTTTGGTTTTCACTTTAATAATGAGCTGAAAATCCCAAACTGCCTGGACTAAATGAAAGCATTAGCCTGATCTTCAGTGTCTCTGTTTGTGTTCTTCCTGCAGGACACGTCTCCAAAGCTCTGCGAGATCCTGCAGGCCCGTCTGAAGGCACGCCGCGGCGGTCCGCTTACCAGTCGTCCCTCGCCTCGCGCCCTCCACCTGGACCCAGAGTTTGTGAACGCCCCTGAGAGCTCCGGAGCCAATCAGACGCTGGAGCAGAGCTTGGAGAACCTTCTGGACAGAGAGGACAAGGCCGCAAACTCTGACAGTGAGGCAGGTTTCACGCCGGTCCGAGCGGTTCCCCTCACAGCTGGACAAATCCACGCTGAGGTAAACTCACCAACGCACCGCTTGACAGGCTCCAGAGAAGAAAGTCTTTGATTTAACACCAGTTTGTTTCTGTGCTTGTTCAGACTTTAGTACCAGCTGGATACTTGATCCCAATCTCCCAGCAGTCCCTCATCGGCTACAAGGAAGTGCAAAGTTCAGGAGGAGAGAGCAACAAGGTCTCTCCTACTTACATGTACCAAACCCCAACTCCAGGTAAATATACAACTCATCACTGTTAGAGGTCAGAGACCTGGCTTTTATGGTACTTTGTTATTTATATACTTTACAGTGGGGGTGTTGCGTGTGTGTGGTGTGAAGGTTTTGTAATCCTGAGATTACAAATAAATCTTGAGAATTCAAATATCCCTCATTGTCTGGAAGGTCAAGGAGCACATCTGACATTAAACAACTGCCAAATAGTTATTGGAAGGAATATACTGTGTAT